ACGACATTATCATTGGCAGGCATGCTCGTTCTCGGGGACTCTTCGTGAGAGGTCTCAGACGCCGTTCTGATTCTTCCGTGCTCGAAGTCGATAAATTCGGCAGGGAGAGTGTCGGATGGTTCGAAATATGCATCAGCATCCGACCCCGTCGTTTGGGAATACGGCCAAAATTCAAAGATACGACACTCTCAGTCCCCCTTCTGTGGTCGAGTGCACACCCCGTGCATGTCCATCTGTCATGGCCGAGGGCTCGACTACAGTATCTGAAACACTCATGTTCGTCACCATCTTTGTTTCCGCCGCAGAAAACGAATTCATAAGTAGACTCTCGATGTCATGCACTCGAGACCAGGTGGGGCGGGTCACTGCAGAGCCCGTGTGCGCCGGGGCAGCGCCACGAGCCTCGCAGAGACGAAGCATAGGGGCCACCTGGTGCAAGCTTCCTTTCCATCCTGCGCTGGAGGGCGCAATGCCGAAAGCTATTGCGTCCTTCCTTCAGGACGAAGTGCTTCGATCGATCTTGATGCGCTCGCTAGGGTAGGTGCCGCAAATAAGGGTCTCGTACTACAGATTTTTACCGACATTGGCGCACATGCTCGCCAATGCATGCGGAGCTAGGCTGGGGTAGGTGGGTGGAATATCATTGTTGTCATCTTCCGCAAGCCATTTGGTCCCAGGAGTTTGCTAGGCGTGAGGGTGCACACACGCCCAGAGCTGGATCACAAGACCAGCAGCAAACAGCAGCTCTCTCACACGTAGTTGCGAAAAAAGCTTTCGGTGCTTCGCTGCCCTCTCTCTTGCTCGAGATGGCGCGCAAGTGAGGGTATGCTTGTCATGTTTCTTGGGTAACTCCATGAAGCAGCATATCGAGGCCATGGGCTTCGCTTTTGTGCGCTGTGCTGAAGGTCGCGGGTGCTTGCTCGGGGCGAGCGGTAGCGGCGGCCACCTCGTGCTGAAGCTCACGCAGGCCGTTGTGGATGCGAAAGGACAGCTTTAGACCCGCGGGCCGCATTGGCCAGGGTGCCGAAAACGCATTGAGCATTTTATGAGGTGTATCGCCAAAGCTCGTTGCTATATTGTGAATGGCAAGCCCTGGGACGCTGAGGATACTCTTGACGTTGATGTCGGTGCTGAAGCAGGTCGAGCTTTCAAGCGCGCCTTCGTGGACTTCTCGGAGGGCCACCGCGAGCTTCTAGTTATTTTAAGATCGGGCCCAGCGGCTTCAGAAACCAGACGCTGAACAGGGTTGCCCTGCACGCATCGCGGAGTTTTGAATCATGCTTTCGGCGCATGTGGGCTGACTGCCCGGGGCGCGCCGTGAGGATGCAGAGCACCACAGCTTTTGTTTTCATGCTTTCGGTTCTTTCTGGACCTTTTCGCCGCGGGTTCTGGCGGAGTCGGGCTGGGTAGCCTTTAGCTGCTGCTCGAACCATTCCACACGAAATGCTGTGCTCGCAGCCGCTTGCACGATGGGTGTGCGCATTCTTCAAGGCGGCCTTTACGAGATTGTATCTCTTGCGCCACATCGAGTTGGCCAAATGCGTTTTGCTGGAGGTAATTCGTCTTACCTTACATGTGTTTACCCCTTTAGTTCGTGCGTTCCATTCACCGTCTTGATATCTTGTTTGTTTTGGTGTCAAGTGTTGTTGTATACTGTGCTTGATGTGTGTTCTTGCATCAGTGCTTGGTGCTAGCTAGGTCTTTGCATCTGTTACTCGAGCGTGATATGGTGATGGTCCGTGGTTTATTTTGGTTTCACTTGTTCTGAATGTTTGCTTGTGGCGCGTGTTCGTACTATCTGCTTTGGGTGTCTCTTATTGACGTATGTTGTTGATGTATGTCCTGGGTGGCGCTCTTGGTGCCTGTTTTTGAGGTGGGTTCGTCATGCCGATGGTGGTTGTCCTTTCTTGATATCAGTTCTCAATGTCGTCGGACGACGCGACGCCGCAGCGGCTGGCATGTCTGACTGGTCGTGGCATGGCTCCATCTCTTCAATGCTCGGTGCCCGGCGAGGCGGGATGCTCAGGGATGCCCGGGCTTCCTGGGTCCACGCGGCCGCGGAACGCTCGCTGGCGGGCTCGGCGGGATAGCCGGGGTTTTGGCGGCCGCGGTGTGTGTGTGTGTGTGTGTGTGTCACCACCTTCGAATCCACCCCAACCCAACCCGAAGGCTCAGATTTACTCTCGATTTCCAGTGGGGGGGGGGTCGGGAAACATCGAACAAACACATGTGGAACCCTTACCCCATCCCGAAATTCGGGTCTTCGGGTTGGGTTGGGGTGGTCTGGTAGGTAGTCAGTGTGTGTGTGTGTGCGTGTGTGTGTGTGTGCGTGTGTGTGTGTGTGTGTGTGTGTGTGTGTGCGGTGGCGGACGAGCGGGGCGGGACTGTCGGGATGCTCGGCACCGCTGAGCCCGACGGCCGCCGTCGTGGCAGGCCGGGGTGGCGCCGCGTGTCTCCGCCGGTGGCCCCGGCAGGCCGGCGGGCCCCGGCCTGTCGGGCCGGGGGGGGAAAAATGTCCCCAGTGCTTTGCCTGCAGGTTTGAGGGCGAGCTCTCCAGGGGCCACAGGAGGTCTGAGGCGCTTCGGGGTGGGCGTGGGCCGCCGAGGCCCGCGGCGCACAGCGACCCGCAGAGAGGCAGCGTCGTCCTTCCGGAGCCCCTGCTCCGAGAGGCTGATGCGGTTTGGCGCGGTTTGCCGCCGCCTACACGAGGAGGAGGAGGAGAAGGAGAAGGAGGAGGAGGAGGAGGAGGAGGCGGAGGAGGAGGCGGAGGAGAAGGAGCCGGAGGCGGCGGAGGATGGGGCGGAGGAGGAGGAGGAGGAGGAGGAGGAGGAGGAGGAGGAGGAGGAGGAGAGGCGGAGGAGAAGGAGCCGGAGGCGGCGGAGGATGGGGAGGAGGAGGAGGAGGAGGAGGGAGGAGGAGGAGGAGGAGGAGGAGGAGGAGGAGGAGGAGGATGGGGAGGAGGAGGAGGAGGAGGAGGAGGAGGAGGAGGAGGAGGAGGAGGAGGAGGAGGAGGGGGACGGTAAGGCAGCGTTGGCCGCCCTCGTGGCGCCCAGGGGGCCCGGGGCAGGCGGCGCCCCTCCTCCCGCGAGGGGGCGCGCGAGGGGGTGCGGGCCAGGCCGGGCCGGTGCGCTGGCGGAGGGCCTGCCTGGTCTGGGCAGAGCCCGTGTCTCGGGCAGGCCCCCAGAGATCCAACGTATTGAAAAAATCAAGACGGAGGTTTTTCGCCATTTTCGGCCCCAAGGGGCCCTCGCCGGGCCCCGGGACCGTCAAAAAACGACTCAGGATGAAAAACCGGTCCCGGGGAACGGGTCGAGACCTCCGGGGGCCCCGTATTGAAAAAATCACGACGTCGGATCTCTGGGGCCGAATCGTTCCGGAGCGTTCCAGATAGCTCTCAGAGCGTTCCAGAAGGCGCTGAGAATCGGGGGCCCCCGAACGGTGTGATGACCGCACCGCGTGGTGAGTCAGCGTGGCGCCGGGTTCGCCGCACGTTTTTGGGGCGAGGACGTCTCGGGCGACCAGGGCCTCCGAGGTCCGCAGGTCGTGCGGTGACGGACCGCGCGGTGAGGTCTCTTGGGATTTCGAGGTCACTGCGCGGTCTGTCACCGCATGTTTTTTTGGACCCCCAAGGGAAGGCCGCGGCGCGGCGCCCGATGCATCTATCAGAGCCGCCAGATCTGACAGTGTCCCATTTTTTTGCCGTCCAAGTTCGTTGCGTTCTTTGCTTCGTGTGTCTCAGGGGTGCGAGGTCCTTGGCACGGAGGCTCTCAGCAGCATCGTGCGGTCGCCTGCCGAGCCCGCTGGAAAGAGCCTTCTGGAGGATGTCGATTAATAAATGACCGGGGGTCGTGTTCACGCGGCGGCGCTCGGGATGGCGATTAGAAAAAACCGGCCGCGGGCTGGAAAACTATTTGTTTTAATCGTCCTCCTCCAGTCAGAAACTTGTGCAGAGATAGCAGAAAACTATTTTTTCAATCGTTCCCCCCCATTTTTTTATTAATCGTCATCCCGCATTACGCGAACCGGTCCGGTGCGCGATATGGCTACGGCCGAACCGAGCCAGCGCGTGTGTTTGATGCCGGGGGGCCGCGTGCCGCTGGACGTGCGCCCGCGGGCCGAGGAGAGCTTTTCGAAGTTCGGTGGCAGAGCCGAGTGTGGCTGCAGTGGTTCGTTGCTTCTTAGTTGGGCCTCAGGGTATAAAGGGTGCCACCATCCGCGGCGCTCAGACATGTGACAAGTGAGAGTGGGCGGGGGCCTCGCGTGGCCAACCCGGGTCTTCCCGGGTGTATATCCAACGACCTGTTGCTATCGCGAAGACGCATGGGATTCGGAGCCCCCAGAGCTGGGCTCCCAAGGGGTATAGCTAGCACGTGTCGATTATGGCCTCGTAGACACGCGCGTGGCCGACCGTTTCCAATTGGGGGAGACCTGTGCCGTCTTGAGACGTTCTCGAGCTGGTTTGGTGCCATGCTAGGTGTGCCTCGGAGGCCAGTTGGGGGCCCGTGGTGCAATGTGGTGCAATCGTGGGGTAATCATGGGGCCATGCCCATTTTTGGGTCGTTGTGTCGGGGCCTCGGAGGCCTCTGAGGCCCATCCAACGACCATCGTAAACCAGGAAGCGGGAAATGACAGCGCCATGTGAAAATTCGAAAGAGTTAGGTAATCTTGGACTCTCGGGGGCCCCTCTGCGGAGCCACCTGAGAGCCCGTGGTGGCTTTCGGCACGAAGATGGGGCCTTCTTAGGGCCACCCATCGCCAAGTTGGACCACCGTGCCCACCCAGAGAAACCATATCGGGCCATCTCGTCAGGGGGTTAAAAGATACCGAGACAGCTGCTCGTCCTGGAGAGCTCTTGTCGCCACGGCTGGATTATCTTCGAAACCACGGTCAGAATGCACCCCTCAAAATGCGCGGGGAGTAGCGGTATCGGTATCTTGTTGTTTCCCCATCTCGGAGGGCCTCCTGGACCTGGCGGCCAATTTCGGGCAGAGGGGATCAGGGGGAGGTGTACAGCCAAACGCCCCCATCGCCTTCTAACCCATGACAAGCTAGGGTCGGCGGATTCGGCCTTGTGTCTCTGAGCGATAAGGAGGCAAATCCGGAGGGGATGGGGTCCATGTTCGATTCGTCATTGTTGGACCTATCTTCCCTGACCTCCACTCTGAGCCAGCTGTCACAAGCTCCGAAAGGTGTGTGGGCGTGCTGTGAGATGAGCGACTTAATCAAAACAGAGACTGTTGCCAGAACGTACAGCAAAGCGGCAACCAGCTTTGCTTTGCACGATGTAACACCAGAAGACATACTTATCATGGAGAAAATCGATCCTTACACGATCGTGCTCAAGAGGCAGAAGATTGGCAGCAGCAGTGAGGTGGTGCTCAGGAAATTCCAGAACAAGAAAGCATGGGGTGACATGTACGCGAAGTTCATGATGCACGATCCGAACGACTGCGTCCTCGTCAGTGCAGAGCCATGTGTCTCCTATCCTGCTGTGCTTCGGCAGACCATCGGTATGAGGTCCGCTGAGTACAGAAACCTCCTGACGTCCATCATCAGGAAACTGCTCCCAGATTGGTTGCGAGCGGAGCTCACAGCAGATGGCGGCAATGACTCGGACCCTACAGACAAGAACGGGCACATGATGTACGTGGCGTCCCTGATCACGATGCTATCGACCCGCTCTTGGACAAAGGCTGAGGGCCAGGCCATGGATTCTATGATACGGTCAAATTACAAAATTCCTTTCAACCACGACTGGGTGGATGATTTCGGAAAGGTACTCAAAAAGATCTGGAACAACGGCGGCGTTCCCAGCCTAGGCAATCTCCGTGCCGTCGAGCACTCTAGGGTGCCTGGCTCATGCAAGAACAAAGCTGTGCTCGCCCTGACCATTGTCGATGCCATCAGACCAAGACACAGATGGGTGGCTTGGTGCATTTGGAGGGCCAGGATCAGGAGGGATAAATGAACACAAGCATGCGTAACCGCTGCTTTCCATGATGATCTGAGAAACTACGGTATGGGAAATTGGGGGGAAGAGCAACATTCAGGAAATATGGAAAATACAAAACTTATCAGAATCTGTATCGGTTCTTTTGTCTTTCCCGGGGCCCTTTTGCAGGAACCAAAGCGAGGCAGAAGGGCGCTTCCCGCACAAGAAGGAGACGCCCATCGACATGAGCTTCTGCCAGCTGCACTGTGTGAATGCCCACCTCGATACGCACCTGTGGTTTGACGTGATTCGCTTCTGGGACCGCGACCCACACCACAAGTGGCCGCTGCGGTACCCCGACCCAGAGCTCCTCAACGCTCCAACGCCTAGCAACTTCGACCTGACGTCCCACACGCAGTGGATGAGGAACCATGCCGCCCCTGGTGGAGCCTCAGGATACAGTTGCCCAAAGACCGTCCCGGGCACGGTGCCGAGCAAGCTGGCCATGCTCGGGGTGACAGGCGACAAAGTTCAAGGCGGCAACGACTCTGATGAGGAGGAAGAGGGCGAGGAGGTTAGTGGCGACATGTAAGGCAGAGGTTCGTGATATATCTCACCCGTGCGCGATTCCACTATTGGACGATCCAGTTTCCTTGACGGATCGTCGTTCGGGCGCTGATCACACGCGTACGGGCCAGACTATTATTCATTGACCGCGCGTGGCTGCGGAACAAATCTCGTCCACGCGCGTGTCAGCCTAGCCCAGTCTGGATATACCATTTTGTTTGGTATGGTACGCTCTGCTGTGATGGGCCGCAATACAGGGGGTCCTGCACGAACGCTGACTCTGCAATCACTGTCCCATCAAAGCTACATGGGACTCTGATTCTTATCATCGTCGATGTGTTGCGATGATGCTTTGTTCAAGATCCCGAGCTCTTTCGCCTTCTGCCTTCTATTCCAACCTGGTACAGTGAGCAGCGTGTATATGTATTTGATGAAGGCGGGACTGGTAAGCAGCTGCTCATCATTTTCGCTGCTTTATGTCCTTCGATGGCAGAGCAGAGCCTCCCTGTTAAGGAGAAATATGAAGTGAGTAACTTATAGATGTGTGCCGACAACGTTCTACTCATTCGCGCACGCACGCCTGCGCCCATTGTGCTCTGTGCCCTCGTCATGCGCCTCTTTCCCATCAATGTCTGATCCATGACCGTCGTCCTTGTCCCCATTGCTCATTGTCATCGTCGCCATCTGTCTCTGTGTGTCAGCCAGTGTAGCGTATTGTCCCTCAGAAGTCTTTCCCATCCCCCCGCCCCCTGGGAGGCCCTGTGGGATGTGGGTGCAGATCCTTGCGAGTTGGGTGGTCAACGAGGTGTCCCACGGCGGCCCTGCTGCCTCAAGCTGAGCGCTGGGTGCTGCACATGTGGTGGGCAGGGCCAGCGGGCGTGAGCGAAACGGCTCGCGCTGTTCCCGCGGGAGCTGAGGCCCTCCCTCCTGCTGCACTCCCTGCCTGGAGATCCGAGCCCTTCGCACCGGCGCGCACGGCGCCGGCACCGCAGCCCCCCCAGCCCCCTCAGCGGCACCGTCAGGGGGGGGCCGGGTTTTTGGCTCGATTTTCGGCTCGACGTCTCCCTCCCAGGAGCTGCGGCGGCGCGCCCAGGGGGGGCAGGCAGAGCGGACAGGCCTCGTCAGAGGGCTCAGAAGGCATCTGGCCTTCTGAGAAGACTTCTGCCTCGGCGCTCCGATAGTTCATGCCGTGTGGCGAAGCACGGCTCCGTGTAGATACAGGGCAGCCGCATGATTGCAAGGTCGCTGTAATAAGGACGTCATACGCGGGCCTCGCGAACCTGGCCTTCAAGCGCGTTGGGGCGCGAACCCTGACAGATCTGGCGCGCGTTCGGGACAACCGGGGGAAGACAATGGGATCGGCGGCGACAGTGTTTTTGTTGGTAGGAAGCGCTCAGCGTTAAGCTCATTTCCGGGCTCGTCGGACAGGTCCGACAACATGTTTTGTGCAACCCCCACTCAATGTTTAACACTTCCGGGTTGGCCAGTAAAACTATCGGGTCGTTTTGGGAGCAAGCCCGATCGTTTTTCGGGTTATTCTTATGTGGTTTGCTCATTTCCGGGTCGGCGCACCGCTTTGGATTTTAAGTATTCGTTACGCTTCGCGTTATCCCCATCTGCCAACCCCAAACCAAACACCAGGCGAGTTACCCTGATCAGGGACTTGTAGCGTCCTGGTTGGGTGGTTGCCCGTCGTTGTCTGCGATGCCTGTAGTTAGCACGCCGTGCGTGCCCGCGGTTGCATTGGTACAGTACAGTGGCTGCCTGTCGTTGCTCGCCATGCGTGCGTTGCTTTGAGCGCGCGAACACCGACGGCGCGCGCGCCGGTCATGTGGCATTCTGGGAGGGGCGACAGGCAACCACTCAACCAAGGCAGACGCTGGAAGTGCGGAGCGACGACGACGACGACGACCATGACGACGACGCCGCCGACGACGACGATGACGACAGGAGTCAACCATCAAGGCCTCTGCAGATCTTTTGCCCTGGGAGCGTCTCGGAGGCCTCTTGGAGCCTTTTTTGGAGGCCCACTGGGCCCTGGCTCGGGCCCCGCGTCCACGACCCCCGGATCACCTCGCCCCCCCGGTCCCCTGCTGCTGGTGGTGGTCTTGGTGGTGGTGGCGGTTGCGCGGGTGCGGCCCTTGCCTGACGCGAGGGATCTCCCCTTCTCGTTTTTGCCCTCCACTCTCTTCCGTCCATAGGCCGGTGCTGCGCGTACTGACGGCGGCGGGCCGTGTTGCACCCGTCGTAATTTGCTCGTGTTGGGTGGCTTCTCGAGGCCGTCAGTCTCTTGATGTCGCTCGGACGAGTGCCTTTTTCTCGGTGTGGACCGTCGAGGAGTATCTTGGATCATCTTGCGACGAACCGAAAAAATACGCACGAAACCGAAACATGCACGGGGAATGGACGTCCGAGCGATGGCGAGATCTGGGCGGCGTCCCCTTCGGCCGCCTCGCGTCTAGACGTGCCGGCGCCGCCGCAAGCTTGGCGGCGCGCCCATGCTTCTTCTCAGCAGCAAAGGCTCCAGCATCTTGCTGCTGTTCATCTGGGGCGTGAAGCCTTGGGGGCCCCCTTGAGGCCATCTTGGAAGCCATCTGTCAAAGGAGGGGGGGTACTCAAGTACGTCCCGCCCCCCCTTTGGACCCGAACATTAGCCTCTTGAGGCCCTCTTCGGGCGCTCTGTGGTGCTCTTGGGGCCGATTTGGGGCCATCCTGGACCCGTCTCGGAACCCTCTTGGGCCATCCTGGAGCTGCCTTGAGGCCCCAAGAGCCCATCGGAAGCGAACAGGCGAGAAGGCTAACAACATTGAAACATATTTTGAACCATGTTCTGATGAGCGATCTTGGAGGCCATCTTGGGCTCTTTGGGGCCCTCTTGGAGACACCTGGGGCCAACAGGGACCCTCTGACACCTCGCGGGGGGGGGGGTCTAGACCCAGGGGGAGAGGATAGCAGGAGGGGGAACCCCCTTCCCGACGGAGAAGGAGGGTACCAGAACGAGCTCCTTAGACCACTCACGCCCAGAGGGCTGGTAGGACTTCACGCTGAGAACCGAAGCCCGATCCCGGATGGGGGGGGGGGAGGCCTTCACCACTTCTTCTGCCTCCGGCCGGATGTGGCTGAAGGCGACGTCTGGCCGGCTCGTCCAACACCTCTGACTACTTTCTCGGCCTCCGGCCGAGGGCGTCCACGGCAAAGGCACCGCGTCGCCAACAACCACAACGGATGGGGGGGGGGGGGGGGGCGAATGGTGGGCTGAAAGTGTACCGGGCCTCGGCGGCCAAACGGGACGGGGCGCCGACCGTGACCACAGACCCCATCGCTGCCTCCGCCCTCGCCCTCCGAGCGGTTCCCCTCGGCTGCCTTCGAGCGCGCGCCGGCCCAGAGGGTCACGAGATGCCAGGAAGGAAGACGTGGGGAAGCTTTCGGGTCGGCACAGTGGGCCTGCTCCGAAGACGGAGGTGGCTTCTCGGAAGGCTGGAGGGCTTCCGGCAGATCCCGCCGCCTTCTGAGAACAGGAGGCCACATGCGAACCCTACCCCACCACCCCACGATTTCTAAGGGGGGATGTGGGGTTCGCTTCGCTCGAGAGGTCCCGACAGAAGTGACCCCCATCTCCCCCCTTAGAAATCGTGGGGTGGTGGGGTAGGGTTCGCATGTGGCCTCACAGGGAAGGCCTGCTCCCTCTCGCGTCCCCCCTCGGCGCGCCGCCGACGAGCTGGTGCCCCCACGGCCAGGAGCTTCTGGTCAACGCGTGTCGCGCTGCTGGTCCTGGCCGACCACGCCGTGGCGCGACACGCCATCCACGCTCCGGCCCCCGAGCGTCAAGGTCCCGAGCCTTCCAGAGCCCCCCGCCCCGCGGAGCGGAGCGACGTGCCATCCGCTTGCCAGGCACAGCGTGTCGCCGGGGCTGCCGCCGCGACGCCGCGCGGAGCAAAAGTGCACCCCCGCCCCCGACAGAGGAGGCGCTGAACGAAGGGCCGCGTTGGGTTCTGGAGGGGTTCTTGAGAGTTTCGTGGCGTTCTGGTCGCGGGGCCCACTCGCGGCCGAGGCCTGCGATGGCCAGAGAGTTCTCTTTTCGTTCCTTGCTCCGCGCTCTTCCTGGCAGCGTGATGACCAGGAGGGAAAAAACATAGACACAGTTCATCGTCGATTCCCCGGAAAATATGCGAACATCTGGGAAGTGTGGGGGGGAAAGACGAAACTCCAAACAAGTATGGGAACACATGGGGGGCCCTGAGGTTTGTGCGTGTCTGTTTGTCTGTCCCTGGGCCCCTTCAGATGCCCGTGCCACTCCCCCCTCGCCCTCGCGGCCAGTCGGGCCCCTCCCCCCCGCCCTGGCAGGCGGCCGCGCCCTCTCTGCCCCGCCGCCTCCCCTGCTGCAGCCCAGCACCGCACGCGCACGGCACGGCGAGGGAGGGCGCGGCCCCTCCGGCAGCCCCGCCCGCTCGCGCCTCCTCCCCCGGCACCTCGGGGGGCGGCCGCGAGGGGGGCCACGGAGCGCACGCCTCGACGAAGGAAAAGAGCACGGCACACGCCGTCGACCGTCGGAGTTCCGTTCGGATGCTTTCCGGGAGCTGCGCCGGGCCCTCTGGCGGCGCGTGCGGCGCCGCCGCCCCCGGCGCGCCCTGCGCGCCAGGGGAGGCCTCGGAGGGGGGATGCGGCGCCGGTCCAGGGAATCCGCGCGGGCCGTCGGAAGTCTGTGCTTATTCCGCTGCGTGCGCTTCAAGATTAACCAGGCAGAATTTGTGATGCAACGCGCCCCACACAGAGGGGTTTATGTTAAAACCCTGGAATTATGAAATGATTATGAAAAAATATGGTTTTCTTAGAACAGCCAAAATATGTTCTGAATATGGTTTTGATACCTAAAAATTACGGAGGTCACTCTGCCCAGCCCGAGACATACCTCGGGCGAACTCCTCACCGAACATTGGCTTTCAACAAGTGCACCACAGTGCCTGCGACGCTGCAGCGCTGCGCAACATGAGAAATCCTGCTCCTGATTCTGCTGCTGCCTCCTCCTCCCCCGCCGTGTTTTTTTTCCCTTGCCTTGTCGCCCCCCCTCCTCCAGTGGCCGCGCCGTTAGCTTTAGGGCGTGGCGGGGCGGGGGGGGCGGAGGGAGCGGGGAGGGGGAGGGGGAGGAAGCAGAGGAGGAAGGAGGGGAGGAGAGAGAGAAGGCGAGGCCCGAGGGAGAAGAGCAGCAGCAGCAGGAGTAAGGAGCAGGTCAAGGGCACTAGCAGCAGCAAAAGGGGAGGGGAGGGAAATCCCACCTCGCTCGGGCAGAGTTCGGTGCTCCCGAGCACCCGACAACGTCAGTCGAAAACGTGCTGAGCCTCGCATTCTTAGTCGCCCTCCTCGTCCTCCTCCTCCTCATCCTTGTCCTCCTCCTCCTCCTCCTCCTCCTTCTTCTTGTCCTCCTCCTCCTCTTCCCTCCTCCTCCTCCTCCTGCCCCCTCCTCCTCATCCTCATCCGTTTCCTCCCTTCTCCCCCTCCCCCCTCCTCCTCCAAGTCGCCCTCGCGGCGCTGTCGGGCAGCGCCGGCGCAGGGCTCAAGCCTACGGCGCGGGCAGCTCGCCGTGCTCGCGGGCGTGCTCCGCGACCTGGCGGATGGCGTCGTGCACCACGCCCGCGGGCTGCAGGCCAGCCTTGTCCTTGAGCTTCTTGAACTCAGCATTGACGACGCGCCTGACCTTGACATTGCTCTTCATGGTCTCTGCATCCTCCAGGTGGTGCAGCAGGGAGCCCTCGACCATGTGGATGATCGAAACCTTCTGAGTGTACGTGTACTTTGACAGCAACTCCTCTGGCACAGCAGTGTCGTGGAAAGCGTAGTCCTTAATCATGGCGTCGATGGCCGCCTCGAAATTTTCTGCTTCATGCTCGAACCGTGCCCCGTCTATAATGAAGAGGCGCTCGTCCGCGTGGCCCTGGAGGTCCTTCCAGGAGCTCTTCTCGGCCACGCCCCTGCGCCAGGGCACGTCTGCAAGATTATCTGGGACGCCCATCATGCCAGTGATCGTGGTGTACTGCTTCATGGCACGATTCATGGAATCATTGTTGTCGAACTCCTTCTGGGCGCTGATCAGCTCCAGGGCGTCGTCGATCGTCGCCTGCGTCTTCTTCTGGACGTTCTCGATCGCAGGACTGAGCTTCTGAACACAGGCGACGGCGTTCTTCAAACCTGTCAGCAACGTCCGCTGATTGTGTGGCTTCGAACGGATGGCAGGCGTCTCTCCGCTGTCGACGAATGCGCGCTGGGCGGAGATCGCCTTCGAGATGGCGCCGAGAGCTTTGACTGTCTCATCGAGCTTCTCGACCGTGCAGTTCCATGTGATGATGGTGGCCCACACGCGCTCAGCCGTCGAGCATACCTCCGCGAAGGCGGATGTATACATATATCGGCGCACCGGGTCCGGGGGCCCGGGGCCGGGACCCCGACCGCAAATGTGCACCCCGGGGGGGCCGGAGGCTCGTCGGGGCTTGCCGGAGGCCTCCCCAGTCAGACAAGACGGCCCAAGAAGCGCCCAAGACGGCCCAAGAAACTTCCAAGAGGCCTCCAAGAGGGCTCCGAGATGCTGAAGATGGCCTCCAGACGTCCAAGGACGCCCCCAAGAGGCCCCAAGAAGCCTCCAACATGCGTCCCAAGAGGGCCCCTAGACGCAAAAATTGGCCCATTCCCTTCGTAAAACGTACATTTTCAACAAAGTTGTCTTTTGGGCTTTCCGACGTTACAGGACGGCCCAAGAGGCGCCCAAGACCGCCCCAAGACGGCCCAAGAAGCTTCCAAGAGGGCCCCAGGACAGCCCAAGAGGGCCCCAAGACGGCCCAAGAGGCGCCCAAGATGGCCCAAGAGGGCCCCAAGACGGGCCCAAGAGGGGGCCCAGAGGGGGACCACGAACCGCAAGCTCGAGCCTTCCGCCCCAAGAGGCCGCCAGGAGGCCCCCAGGAGGCCCCTCAAGAGGCCCCAGGAGACCCCCAAGAGGCCCAAAGGAGGCCCCGAGAAGCCCCAAATCGGCCCCCACAATGCTTCGAACCTGCTTCCAGGAGGCCCCCGACAGGTTCAGAGGCTCCCAAGAAGCTACGTCAAACTCCCAGCGAGCGGCCGGACGAGGCCCCCCAAAAAATCCCAAGAGGGTTCCAGTATTTGTATCCTTCAGCGCTCTCTGGCCTTCTTCCCCCTGCCCCCTTCCCTGCGACTTTCGTTGACTCAAGCTCGCCTCCTCTCCATTTCCTCTCTCTGCCTCTCTCTCTCTCTCTGTCTTCTCTCTCTCTCTCTCTCTCCATCTCTCTCTCTCTCTCTCCTTCGCTCTCTGTCTGTCTGTCTCTCTCTCTCTCCCTCTCTTTCTCTCTCTTTCTCTTTCTTCCTTTCAGATTCCGTGTCCTTGCGACCTTCTGCAGTCCCCGACGTCGCCACGGCTGGATCCGCTCGAGCGTGTCTTGTGATGTGCGGCGGTGCGAAGCCCGTCCCACTGATCAAGGCACAGGTACGAAATGATGGGTCCATCATTTCTTGCCTTCCCATGTGCGTTTTCCCAATCGATTCCTGGGCCCGAGGTCGCAAAAATTACGACGTCGGAGGTCTGGGGAGGCGGGAAGCACGACCTGGACCTCCGACGTCTTGGAAAAATCACGACGGCGGTTTCGGTCAATTTTCGGCCTCCGGGGCCCCTCGCAGGGTCCCGGGACCGTCAGAAAACGACTCAGGATGAAAAAAAAACACATCCCCAGGAAGTCGTCGAGAGGTCCAGGGGCCGCGCACAGAAAGCATCACGACATCGGACGTCCAGAGAGGAGGTAGGAACACGAGGAGGAGGGAGCCCAGACCTCCTGGCGACGCAACACCAAAGACAACAAAAGCTTCCCCGCGACTTCCCCCAGAGACTCTAACTACAGAAACTCCTTTCGTATTCCGGCCAGAAGCATCCAGAAACGATGTACATTAGCCCTGGCGGGGGGAATGTCGGCCCCCAAAATGCTTCGAACCTGTTTCCAAGAGGCCCCCGACAGGTTCAGAGGCTCCCGAGAAGCTACGTCAAACTCCCAGCGAGCGGCCGGACGAGGCCCCCCAAAAAATCCCAAGAGGGTTTCAGTATTTGTATCTTTCAGCGCTCTCTGGCCTTCTTCCCCCTGCCCCCTTCCCTGCGACTTTCGTTGACTCAAGCTCGCCTCCTCTCCATTGCCTCTCTCTGCCTCTCTCTCTCTCTCTGTTTTTTTTTTTTTTCTCTCTCTCTCTCTCTCCATCTCTCTCTCTCTCTCTCTCTTTCCTTCGCTCTCTGTCTGTCTGTCTCTCTCTGCCTCTCTTTCTCTCTATCTTTCTCTCTCTTCCTTTCAGATTCCGTGTCCTTGCGACCTTCTGCAGTCCCCGACGTCGCCATGGCTGGATCCGCTCGAGCGTGTCTTGTGATGTGCGGCGGTGCGAAGCCCGTCCCACTGATCAAGGCACAGGTACGAAATGATGGGTCCATCATTTCTTGCCTTCCCATGTGCGTTTTCCCAATCGATTCCTGGGCCCGAGGTCGCAAAAATTACGACGTCGGAGGTCTGGGGAGGCGGGAAGCACGACCTGGACCTCCGACGTCTTGGAAAAATCACGACGGCGGTTTTTGTCAATTTTCGGGCGTCCTGAGCCTCGGAGGCCGCCGCCTCCGACCCCCCATGGGAGGACGGGGCGGCCGGGGAGGTCCAAAAAAATCCAGGAGGGCCTCCAAAGGCTCCCAAGACGGCCCAAGCGGGCCCCGAGTCGCCGAAAGACCGCTCCAGGACGCCCAAGAAAGGCCCAAGACGGCCCGAGAGGCCCCCCAAGGCACTCCACGACGCTTCAAGACGCCTCTCCAGAGCGCTTCAAGAGGCCGAGATCGTCAATTTTACGAAGGTTTTCGAACGATTTTGACCTTCCAGCTTTTTCGGCTGTCCGACGTTCCACGACGGCTCAATAGGCCCCCAAGAGCGCCCCAAGACGGTCCAAGAGGGCCCCAGGACGGCCCCAGAGTCGCCCAAGACAGCCCCACAGAGCCCCAAGACGACCCCAAGATGCGCCCAAGAGGGGGACCACGACTCCAAAATTCGACCCTCCCGCTTGAAGAGTGCCCCAGGAGGACCCAAGGAGCCCCCAAGAGGCCCCAGGAGGCCTCCAAGAGGCACCCAGGAGGCCCGAACGAGGCCTGAAGAGGCCACAAAACAGCCCCGAGGAGGCCCCACAACGGTCCCAAAACGGCTACCGAGAAGCTGCGAAACTGCCTTCACGACGTCCCCGACAGGCCAACCACGAGATCCAAACTAACACCCATGAGGCCTCTGACCCACCACCCAGGGCACGGTGGCGGGGGCAGTGACAGCACTTGTGCACAGCATGTTCCGGCGAGAGCCTTCCAGAACACGCTGCAGGAGGAGGAGGAAGATCAGGAGGAGAGAGAGCTGGAGTGGGAGGAGGAGGAGGGGGACGAGGAGAAGGAAGAGGCCTCCAAGACAGCTCCAAGATAGCCGAAGAGGCTTCCAAGAGGGCCCTGGGCGGCCCACGAGGGCCCCAAGGCGGTGCCTGAGGCGCCCAAGACGACCCGAGAGGGCCCCAAGACGGCTCCAAGAGAGGCCCAAGAAGGGAAACACGAACCGAGAATCCGAGCTTTCTACCCCGTGAGGTTCTCGGGAAGTCCCAAGAGGCCCCCAATCGGATCCAAGAGGCTCCCAAGAAATTCCTAAGAGGGCCGACGAGGTTCCAAGAAATCTCCCAAGATGGCCCC